TCCTCTGTGTTTTTTCTCTTCTCCCCCCCACACTCCCCCTCTCTCTCTCTCTCTCTCTCTCTCTCTCTCTCTCTCTCTCTCTCTCTCTCTCTCTCTCTATATATATATATATATATATATATATATATATTTTTTTTTTTTTTTTCCCTCCTCTCAATCTGAATCTTTGAAACTGGCTTTCATGACTTGGGAGCATGTTTAAACTTTGAACCTCCAGTTAAAAAAGAAGTCTCTGTGATACTCTCATCCAGTTCCTCCTCCTCATCCATCTCTTCCTCATCATCCCCATCCTCACTGTCCATGTAGTAGTCTTTGGGTATACGCCTAAGCTTATGGTATTTATTATTATTAGTCTTAGTCTTTTTGCATATTGCATAAAAGCAAACCTGAGATATATTGATGGTAATGCTGGTGGCAGCTAGGATGGAAAGGATGACCACGGTAAGCAGAAGCTGACTGGAAAGAAACAAAGATATCAAAATAAATAAATTAATAAATGAATAAATAAATAAGTAGATTAACAAGAAAGTGGACACTGAAACTACACAAAGGATATGAAAAACTAGTGAGACAGTAATACAGGCATATTTACTAATATTACACATAAAAACAAACTACAGATAAAAATGAACGATACATATTATGTAAGACAAATAGTAATATAGATGAAAAAAATTCAGCCAACACATAACAAGAAATGGTCTAGCTATACAAAAACCACTTTATTCAGTTTGTGAATTCTCTTCTTCATGAACTCTAGAATAATCCCTGGTTAACATTCTCTGAACCAAAAGTTTGTGATCTTGAAAGCAATCTGTAAAGGTACACACAGCATTAGAATATCTTTGAACACAGCAGGTAAATGTATATCTTTATAATAAATACCAGTGCCTACCTCATTTGCTCTGACTGATCTTTCACTAAATGTTCCCTTCGAATACGAGATTCAGCAAGACAGGTTCCAACTATAAAACAAATAATATGATTTATAATGAGATAATTACTGGCTCTCTCTCTCTCTCTCTCTCTTACACACACACAAACAGACAGAGGCTCTCTCTCTCTCTCTCTCTCTCTCTCTCTCTCTCTCTCTCTCTCTCTCACACACAAAGAGGTTCAAAAATACACATACCCAACACACATGAACATAGTGACGGGCATACAAACATACACACACACACACACACACACACACACACACACACACACACACACATAGAGAAGAGAAAAAGTATCTTATCTTACCTTGAAATAAGTCAGCATCCACATCAGCTGTAATATTGCACTCCCCAGTTATGTGGTTACAGGAGCAACTGTCCTCACAGTAACACAAGCTCTTACATGACTCTCCGAAAAACCCATAAGGGCATTCTGGAATAATAAAAAGTTCCATGTAAAACAAAATATTACCATAGGTTACAAAAACTGTGTGACAATAATCCAAACAGTACCTGTAAATGGGACTTTTGGTTTTTAAATTTTTATCTTTGACAAAGATAGCATTTAATGGAAGTGAAAAATATTTGAAAGTTGTTCAATCTAACATGTTTTACATACTTTCTGTGCATAAAAGACCAGTGTAGCCTGGCTTGCATACACAACTGCCATCTACAGGACTGCAAGTGGCATTGTTCTGGCACCTGCACTGTTCTGAGCATTGATAGCCATATCTATGTTCTGTGCATGGCTCATTACACTGCTCCCCAAGCCAACCTTTGTGGCAGTCACAACCAGCTAGAAAAATAGGTAAAAAATGTGAGAAATAACCACTCAAAATATATCTACATTTTTACCTTTTTACCTGGGAATTACTATTTACAAAAAAAAAAAAAAAAAACTAATTCAACCTAATTTGAAAGGGTCTATGCAACATATACTTAATATGGTAAACACATATTAATGATAAAATATACACTAGAAATTTGACAAATGCTTGATTTTAAAAATACCAACTATTTTTTATAACAATATAACATAAATTCTTCATCACCAACAGATATGCCACTTTAACCACATGTACACTGAAATATTATCAAATATATCATAAGAAAAAAACTAAATTAAATATGAAACTGTCAATTTACATTCCGTGCACACTCCCTGTCTGCTACAGTTGTGAACCCCACACATCAGCAGGTCACATGATGGTCCCATCCAATATTCATCACAAATACAAATACCCCCCACGCAGTTTCCATGACCACTACAATTATGGGATGGTTGACATTCAGGCTCGTGGGCACATACAATGGTTGACACTTTTCTTTCACAGCCAAATGTTGGGTTGTCTGGACTGTAAAAAGAATAACATTCAGTTAAATACTAGGTAAATTTCATAATAAAATGTTTCAAGAATGCTGAAATGCTATTTGCAGCCACTGTACACTGTGTACAGTGTTACTATAGCCTCTTTAAGAATTTTGCTGTGCTCTGGATAGCATTATATACATGTTTCTTTTCCCAAGAAGTCTACATCCTTTCTAAAAAATGGCTAATACAAGTGATTTGCTACTGCATAAGCATTTGAAAAAGAAGGACAACTGCCAGAACAGAAACCCATTAGTACATACTGCAAAATGCTAAAGACAAAAATGCATCAGGGACATGGTAAAAAAAATCCACAATTATGTGAAAAATAATCTTCCTCTAGTGACAATTTGCCGTCTTAAACTTTTATTACAAAACCAAGCAATGATTTANCACACACACACATAGAGAAGAGAAAAAGTATCTTATCTTACCTTGAAATAAGTCAGCATCCACATCAGCTGTAATATTGCACTCCCCAGTTATGTGGTTACAGGAGCAACTGTCCTCACAGTAACACAAGCTCTTACATGACTCTCCGAAAAACCCATAAGGGCATTCTGGAATAATAAAAAGTTCCATGTAAAACAAAATATTACCATAGGTTACAAAAACTGTGTGACAATAATCCAAACAGTACCTGTAAATGGGACTTTTGGTTTTTAAATTTTTATCTTTGACAAAGATAGCATTTAATGGAAGTGAAAAATATTTGAAAGTTGTTCAATCTAACATGTTTTACATACTTTCTGTGCATAAAAGACCAGTGTAGCCTGGCTTGCATACACAACTGCCATCTACAGGACTGCAAGTGGCATTGTTCTGGCACCTGCACTGTTCTGAGCATTGATAGCCATATCTATGTTCTGTGCATGGCTCATTACACTGCTCCCCAAGCCAACCTTTGTGGCAGTCACAACCAGCTAGAAAAATAGGTAAAAAATGTGAGAAATAACCACTCAAAATATATCTACATTTTTACCTTTTTACCTGGGAATTACTATTTACAAAAAAAAAAAAAAAAAAACTAATTCAACCTAATTTGAAAGGGTCTATGCAACATATACTTAATATGGTAAACACATATTAATGATAAAATATACACTAGAAATTTGACAAATGCTTGATTTTAAAAATACCAACTATTTTTTATAACAATATAACATAAATTCTTCATCACCAACAGATATGCCACTTTAACCACATGTACACTGAAATATTATCAAATATATCATAAGAAAAAAACTAAATTAAATATGAAACTGTCAATTTACATTCCGTGCACACTCCCTGTCTGCTACAGTTGTGAACCCCACACATCAGCAGGTCACATGATGGTCCCATCCAATATTCATCACAAATACAAATACCCCCCACGCAGTTTCCATGACCACTACAATTATGGGATGGTTGACATTCAGGCTCGTGGGCACATACAATGGTTGACACTTTTCTTTCACAGCCAAATGTTGGGTTGTCTGGACTGTAAAAAGAATAACATTCAGTTAAATACTAGGTAAATTTCATAATAAAATGTTTCAAGAATGCTGAAATGCTATTTGCAGCCACTGTACACTGTGTACAGTGTTACTATAGCCTCTTTAAGAATTTTGCTGTGCTCTGGATAGCATTATATACATGTTTCTTTTCCCAAGAAGTCTACATCCTTTCTAAAAAATGGCTAATACAAGTGATTTGCTACTGCATAAGCATTTGAAAAAGAAGGACAACTGCCAGAACAGAAACCCATTAGTACATACTGCAAAATGCTAAAGACAAAAATGCATCAGGGACATGGTAAAAAAAATCCACAATTATGTGAAAAATAATCTTCCTCTAGTGACAATTTGCCGTCTTAAACTTTTATTACAAAACCAAGCAATGATTTAAACATTATCTCAGAAAATGGAGGATTATCTGTGAAAGGCAAAATACTACATGTTCCATTCCTGTGTATAAACTCACCATTTGTCTGAGGGATAACTGCTCAACGATCCATTGACTATGAAAGTAGCTGATCCACCACCGTCTAAATTGATTGCATTGACTAGACCTAGGCTCTTCAAAAACTCTACGAAATCATATAGATTCATGCTGAAAAATAAGTATTTGACTTACATATAATGCATAATTTTGTTATCATAAAAGAAAAGATAAAGCATTCTGGAAATTGTTGAGAATGGTGATGAGGCATTGTGAGCTAGTAAGCTAGACAAATTTTGGCTGACAAAAGGCAAAATAAAACTTTGATCAAGTTTACTTGTAGAGAGTAGCAAGACTAGTAAGTCTATAACAAATTATTAATCTATAATATCAACCTCCCCCCATGCACTTATACACAAACCACACACACATATCCAACAAATGCACTCAGGCATGTACACACACACAGATTACACACACACACACGCACACACACACACACACACACACAGTGTGCATAATATTCAAGCATTTGGCGAAAAATTGAATACAAGCTTAAATGACCCATGAGTGTGATGTAAACATGCTCCTTCACCTTACCCTCTATGGTGAGTTCGTCCTTCAGCCTGTACTATGACAACATTCCCCTCTTTGTCATGTCCCAGTGCTGTTCTGGCAGACTGGACCTCTGCAAATGTTTTCAGGGTACCTGGCAATTTTTTTAAATTATATTAATTATATTAGACTTTACATAAAATGACTTAAAGATAAACCAGGCACTCGTATTATTACATACTGAATCTGAAAGTCCCAGTGACAATAAAAAAGGATTTATGTGTTAAACAGACTCTGCATGCACTGGTAACAGACAAGAATCCACAGTACCAATTAGTACATTTAGTATAGGTGAGGTTACTTTTTTTAAAATAAACAAATGCAACAGTTAATGAAAAAAATGTGGCTTGTACATTTTAATGTCCATCAAATTGTAGCCTACTGGACAAGTGTTTTTTTAAATACAATTTCAGATTGAAAAATGACCCAGCATATTGTATTGTGCACAAATATCTGTTAAGTATAAATGCATAAGCAACATCAGAAGGCAAATTCATGCTGCCAAAATTTACACTGTAACAGTTTTACATTATACTAAGGAAAACAAATTTTGTAACAAATCATTTCAGTTCAGTCCAAGTTACGTGGGATATGAACAGTTCCACTGCAGATTATCATCACCTTTTAGTTATTCATAAATCAAAAATAATATTCAAACTCTGGTTTTACCAGTTTCTTCTGTGTCCTGGCATTCAGCAGCTATGCTCTCTGTCAAGTATGACTCGCCATCTCTAAGGAGCCATAAAACCCCTCCAACCAGCTGCTGAAAGTCTCCATGCAGAACCTCATACTCTGGAAGGTACCTTAATAAAATATTATATTAACAATTAAAAGCATACTTTAAAAAACTTTGCGTGATGGATGTGTCTGACTATAAAACCTTAGTTGCTATATAATTCAGGTGTATACTGGTGATATATACTAGTAATTTACTTTAAGTTCACACAGGTCTGTAGACAGAGATTTCAAAGGGCAGGGTCTTTTTCTGAAAAGGTGGACATTTTTACTTGCCTCAGTAGACCCAACTTGAGAAATGGCATAGAACCTAGTCTAAAACCAAATTTTAATTCAGAAGGGACATTTTCTAGCCAAATGGGTCTATCTTTTGAATCATCCTGATTGCTGCTCATTTTCTCTTTGTTAAAACATTTAGCACATCTTGATACAATAGCAGTTAAGTTATCTGGCACCAAATTGAAAAAACAAAAAAAAAAACAATTTATAATAAGGGACAATTGTAGATTTTGAAATATTCTCCTACTGAAGACCAAAGGCTATTAAGTATTTTATACATATATATATGCTACGTGATACCATTGTTTGAGTTAAAAATATCATTAAAGGCACCACTTACCCAATGAACAAGCTGCCATCCTTCTTAATACCAAAATGTGCATTCTGCACTCCTCCAGAGTTCTGTACAAGTCTGCCATCACTGATGATATTACCTGAAACAATAGGACACATAATGGTCAGAAAAAGAAATGATTTGAAATGTCATAGCTTATTTTAACTATGTTAACTCTGTATTATACAATTGAACACCACACAGCAACTAGGTGAATAATAAGTATACGAGATATAAATCTTCAAAGCAAAAAATCTAGGCTTAGGTTTTGATATTTAAAGACAAATTATAGTTACTGTAGCTTTTAATTATTCTTTATCAAGTGTTCTATTGAACTGAAGCATTGCCAATCACTAATACCCTGTATGCAAGAGTGAACAAATTATCATTATACAAATAAAATAAAGGTAAATCTTACATGTGCCTCTTTTAAGCTTTTCTAAATAAGCCACATTCTTGAATAGAAATTACAACTCACCTAAACACGCCCCATTTGTAGTATTGAAAAACCCAGCATTAGCAGCTACCACACAATTTTTTGTCCTGGCAGAGTCCTTAGTGGTCATCCTCACCCAGTGGTCATCCATGCACCCCCCTGGCCCCCCTGGCTCGACCACAGAAAACGTCCTAAGGGGGTCTTGTATCACAGCATAATGACCATAGATGTAGTGGGCACGGTCAAAGTCATACCTATGTTTGTCATCACTTTTTACGAATTGTCTGACTGATATCAGTGGTTTGGATGAGTTTATGGCAGAAGTAGGTTTAAATGTTTCATGTGTCACATTTTTATATTTATAAGGCTGACAGTCTCTGACGTATCGATGGGAATGTCTTGGGCCATGCAGGTTTTGGTATGGTACCAACAAGTCCAGCAGATCAGTATCGGTATTACTGGAATGGAAAAAAGACAGTGGGGTTGTTACTGGTAAATACATATTGCATGTCTTTTTATAATATATTTCTTTGTCAATATTAAATAAAAGTTGAGGTATAAGATTTTATGGGGTTTTCCATATTCCACCATTTCAATCAACCTGGGGCCCAATACACATTCACAGGCATATCCATGATGATTGGGCCCTAAACTCAACACCAGGTAGGGGTTTGGAAATTAAATTAAAGGTGCTGCAGCAAATGCAGGCACTGCAGCCAATGCAGGGTCATCAGAGTCAGAGCTACCAGTAGGTAATGCTTAATTGGTCCCAAGGCTCATTAAATGAAAGCAATGCACACACCTTTCTGCTAATCAGCATTCATTTCCACAGGATATAACCAATTAACTCGACAGTACACAATATTTTACCAGTGCCGGTCCCCCTACTACGTGTAGTACTATTTATTACTGTAACTCACAGCCAACCACTGAACCAAGACAGTGGGTGCAGTGATATCAACACAGACTTTTTTCTCCCAGCCCTAAGATTTCTGTTACACTGACCAAAAACAACTCATTAAATACTTGTGTAAATAAAAACTCACCTGTCTATATTTGCTAAAACCGCACTTAACAATAAAATTAAGTAGCAAAGCAAGGAAGTGTGAACGTGTACATCGGCTTCCATTTTGTGCCGTTTCTGATCACATGATCAAGGTCGTCTCGATCTTTTATGAAATGAGACTGAAATTTATGCTAACATGGCGGCGCCCTTGAAAAGTTTCGCCGATCGGACAACTGCAGTGATTTTAAGTAATTGTGTGAAAAAACGCTTTTCACTACCTGGGAGCAGTTACTCGAAGAGATCGAGTGGAACGTATTCTTCAAATAGCGATGAAAATTACTGCGTTGATCTGGTTAGGTATGTTGTATTTGTAAAAAAATTGATTCCAGTTCAAAAAAAAAAAAAAAATTATGACATTAAGCCTGTTAAATGGATTAGGTTGTTCGAAGTACATGTATTTGTTGCTTGTGTAAGTAGATTTGTTTAAGATAATCATGAGGGTGATATTATTATTTTCATACTTACTTTGCACTTTTATTGTAGTGCAGTAATGTCAGTGTTCAGATAAAAAAGTATCGTATCTATTGATTGCAGCAATTGTAGTTGCTAATACCATATGCATTACCAATGATTATGTAGCACCTTTTTGGGAGAGTGTAGAAAATCACCAGCCAGACCAGGGATTGAACCCAGTGTCATGTGTACGGTCCGTTCTGCGTGAACCATCCGTCCAGACCGATTGTACACGCAGCAGACGCGTGTATGAGCCGTTCCGTGAATGATCCGTTGTTATTCACCTGCTGCACTGTTATCTTCGGCTAGTTCATTTCCTACCACATTTATACATTTACTATGATGGGGATAAAATTTATGTGTTAATTGATAATTTTGATAGAGAATCAGCATCAGTACAGTTCGATGCATGGATGAACCTACCGTGGACGGACCGTCCTTATTCAGCTGCTGGCTACTATTTTAGTATTGATTTTACTAGGCTAGTGTGTTGATATGGCCACCTGAGGGAAATCGCAGTAGAGGTGAACATCTATAAGATATGAATACTTCTAAAGATTATGTTTGAATTTGCAGTATGTTCTCAACAGCGCATGTTTATTAAAGGCTAAGAATGTATTGATGACTCTATAGAGACCGACTGTACACTCCGGATGTCTCTCAGATTTGCATGCGCTTTGTGCGCATGAGCAGAATGGATGGTACACGCTCCGAGCGGTACACGCCACACCGGGACCTCTTGCAAGCAGGGCGAGTGCTCTACTGCCTGAGCTATCAGGACGGTTCTACCCTGCATCTGGCACTACACTTATAAAGCAATCCCTTACTACTGGGTACTGGTAGTATACTATAGTTTGATAAATTGTAATGAAGAATTTTGGTATTATGAATTTATATTTGCACTTTCAGAAAACATGACTATGAAAACTTCCTGTGTACCCTTTTACTGCCAGAGTCTTACAGGTCAGCTGCATTTGCCATCAGAGCATTCAATGTGGAGATAGCACAGGTTGGCGAAACATACGGTAGTTTCTGTAATACACACGTAAGATAGAAAACATTCAGATCCTCTTTTTTCTCAGAGGGCCTAGGCCTTACCAATTAGGAAAACCTTGTTTCTTTTGGGGAAAGTTGAGTGCAACACTTGTTTATATAAATAACAGCCATTGATTTTGATTCGTTCTAAGAGACAATGCTCATAATATGCTGACAAATAATCTCCTGGTTGGAATTGAATATATTAAATTTATCCAGATTGCAGTTTCTTATTCTGTTTTATCCTTTTGTTGGACTTAACAATGTTTTATTAAAAGTTAATTGTCAGTCTTATACTGGTGTACTTATATGTGGCTCAGACATCATTTGCAGTTAAATGCTTGAAAATATATTTATATAACAAAGTTAGATAAAGAAGAGGTTTAAATAATCTAATCAAATGTAGAAAAAGAATGTCAAATGGTCACACCATGATTTAAGGGAGAGTGTTTCAAAATGCTGTCTATACCCCCTGGTTGTTCTTTGCTATTTTCTTTTTATTTGCATTTTATAGGTTAGAGATGTAGTAACTGACAAGAAAGTAGGGCAGATGAGGATGCAGTTTTGGAAAGATTCAATAGAAAGAGTTTTCCAGGTATAGGACGACACATTTTAATAAAATTTTAAGTGCTGATTGTTCAATAATGATAATTTAATAATTAAACTTGTCTCCAAGTGTCACTTGGTTTTTATAGTGAAAATAGTTCATAACAAAGAACATCACATATGCCTCTGGATATTGAGATGTGATGTTGGTTTGCAGAAGCACATGTAATACTCGTGGCATAGTTTAAATTGATGTTGGAAATATTGTCATAATATTTTTGCATGCCCTAACAAAGTCTAAACTAGGTCTTTTTTTTTTTTTTTTTTTTTTTTTTTTGATAGGGTAACCCTCCTGAAAGTCCAATATGCCTACAGCTTGCCAGGGTAAGTCTAATACATAAATATTAAATAAATAAATAACATATTATCACATATATTAGTCATGATGGTGGTCATGTGGTTTGCTAAAGAAAAAGATAGAATTAAGTTTTCCTTACTTCACATGACATTTTACATTTCACTGTGTTAGCTTTATTTAGATTAGATTTCTGGTATTAGAAAAGATAACAATTAGTATTAAGTAATCATCCCATACACGAGTTAGTTGGAATCCTTGCCATTTAAGTTAACTTTCATTAATCCAAATTTTGTTATTTTTAAATAAATATTAAAATACTCATCAAACAAAGATTCTAAATATAATTAAATCTTATCTTTCAATAATACTTTTTATGTTTTTTTAGGAATTAGAAACTAAGAAGTTCTCGAAGGCCTGGTTCAAAAGGATTATAGAGAAGAGGGTAAGAAGGAAAATATGCTTGAATTATGCTATATTAAAATTATTTATATATCAAGGTCGATTAGAAAGTGAAAATATTGAAACATTAAATTCAAAGGCTATACACCATAAGGCATACCCATTAAACATTAATGCTTCTGCTTGTTTTCTCTTTAAGGTGATTATTTCTCTGCTTTCAGGGCGTAAACATGGTTGGGTTGTTTTGGATTTCAGTAGAATTCCCCAAAAAATTCTTAACTAATTAATACATGAAAAGTTGATTTGGATATTCTTTTAGTTCAGTTCAGTTCAGTTTTTTTTTTTTTTTTTTTTTTTTTTTTTCTGCGAGTTTGCCAGTTCCTCAAAAAGCATAAATAAATGAATAGATAGCTGAGAAAATGCTGGAAAAAAATGCTTTAGTAAATACTGTAACTATTTCAGGATGCACAGTTATCAGATCAAGGATTCAAGAGCATAGCAGAGTTGGAGGAGTATGCAGAGAATACAGTGTCTTCCATACAGTATCTTTTACTACAGGCTGCAGGTATATATGCAATAGTGTGACTCCATTTCTTTGTTACCTTACATTGAAGATTCTCATGGATCTCTTGGATAATTTGGCAAAAGGGGTAATCTCGTAACCAATTTTGAAAGTCAGATACTAGTATCACTGTCCTGTTTCAAGAGATCTTTATTTGAATTTATTTGTTTTTTAAAATTGTTTGTACCAAAACTTTTGAATATCAGATGTGACTGTCAGTGATATGACATGAAAAACTTACACATTTCTCCTTCAGTGCCTTTTTGAAAATTTCTGATAAATTATTTGATAATTTTATGACATATACTATTACTAATATATGTTGAATTTCTGTACAACTAGGTGTTGAAGATATTCATGCAGACCATGCAGCCAGTCATATAGGTAAAGCAGTGGGTATAGTCACCGCACTGAGGTCGGTGCCATATCACTCTGGCAGAGGGAGAGTTTACATCCCATATGAACTACTCATGAAGGTAACAAGATGAATGTCTTTTCTTTTGTGATTTTTTCATATATTCCTTTTAGTATCTTATTTACAAAATTTCTTTCATATTTGATTAATATTTTGATATATATTTATGCTCTCAAATAGTGCCCACTGTATTTGTTCTGTTTGGATGAATGTCAGAAATTGTTATTTTAAAAATGTGTCACTATTTAATCATTATATATTTAATTAAAGAAATTGTTTTCAGCACAATGTATCAGAGACGAGTATAGCTAGGGGAAGTCAGGAGCAGCCAGTTAGGGATGCCATGTTTGATATTGCCAGCCAAGCACAAAGTCATTTGAAAAAGGTAGTATTACTCAGATAGATAATAATGATACACATTTCTTATAAGTGGTAATTCAATGTAAAAGTTTGATATGGTTTGCAAAACCCAACAGCATGTACTTTACATATTGAGTTATTGTTTTCTGTAATTCATTATCAATCCCAATTATGTATTTATGATTAAAAATATAAAAGGAAAACTTTGATGCATGGTTTACAAAGAAAATTTGTTATCAAATGCCAAGGTTTGACAATTATCTTGTTCAGAGTGAAAATTATTATAATTAAGATTTATCTGAATTGTNATGCGATACCATCCATTATTTCAGGCTAGAACATTGCAACCAAATATCCCCAAGGAGGCATATGTCACTTTTTTGTCAACAGTAAGTGCACACTTCAATGAAATTACACTCAGTCTGGTGGATCCTTGATTGCATAAGGCTTGTGAAGGAAGGGATGGGAAGGCACAGTGGGGAAGCATGTTTTTGTGCCAAAGAATTAAGAAATTTTAAAGTCATTGAAAGACAACTTTTAAAATGGATTTTGCATTTTAATTTCAGTTTGTTTTCAGATATGCCAATAGTAATACACTGTACAAAATTTATGTCAAGTATCAGTCGTAAATTTTCAGTATCATAAAGTTAACGTTTATGGTGTATTTTGAAATTCCCAAATGATGTGCTTTTTCCCCACTTGACTGTCCTTACTATCATTACTTATATTTATTTTCTTAGGTGTCCTGTAATTCCTACCTGCAGCAGCTACAGGAGTTTGACTTTGATGTCTTTCACTCAAAATTGCAGCGAAGAAAACACTTTTTACCCCTCTCTCTTTGGTGGCACAAGTCAAGGAAGAAGTATTAAATTATCAAAATAATATAGATGGAACTTTAGAATTGATATCTGAGCTATTTGGCCTTGGAACTCATTTATTACTCAGATTGATTATAGGGAATTTTGAAACAAGAATCTTTTTTTATTTTTATTTTTTTTTTTTTTGAGACCAGTTTGTGCTTTATGCAAGACATGAAACACGAGGTTCGAAAATGCAGAGGCACATTTTCATCAGGGGGTATTCCAGAAATTGAGTCTGGACATCCCCATCGGCAAATATATTTGGGAAATTACAATAAGGAAAAGAGGTATATTCATTTCAACTTGTCTAGGCCCAATTGTTTATACAACAAATATCATGAAGAGAAGTCTGAATTGATGATTATTAGTGGATCAGTATAATTTCTCTTTTTGAACGTTCTGAGCTGTTTGATGGAACCAATGGTTAGGATATCATGGAACAATGCCAACTCTTGTAAATAAATTTTTATTGTGAAAATCCTATCAAGAATAATGAAATGAAGACATTTCTTTATATTTTGAATGTGTAATGCTTGCATGTGTTTGTATTGTAAGTAATCATTCAGATCTTCATACTCTTTCATATTTTTGTTCTTTTCAAATATGCTTAAACTTGATGATTCAACAGTTACATGTATAATATGCAAAACGTCTAAATGCATTTTAAAAAAATTAAATACAATAACTATAAAAGCACTCTGAGAGAGCAGACTCCACCAAGGACTTAACACTGATAAAATTGTGGTAGTTGAGAGGACATGCATAACCTTATAACACCTTTCACTGATTTTGGGGTCAAGGCCCAAAACCCTATCTCACAATGATAAAGGTTCCTTAATGAAATTCTTGGATCCAAAAGTAATTCGGGATCACCACTACAATGTAATCACTTTTAATTAAGCCAATTTTCAAGCTATTCTGAAATTTTCATCAAAATGCATAGGGATTCCATAACATTTACTTACGCTGGTGATGTACAAATAGAAGTGTAAGCCACCTCCTTGGCAGAGGTTTATTAAAATATCATAGCATTGAAAAGTTAAATGCATCTTTTAAACTTTTTAGTAAATATATAAATACTGTTATATATAAACAACATGATATGTTATAAAAAATAACCTTAAATATTTACCCGAGATTAAATATTGTTAGTAGCATTTAAGATGAGAACAGGGTTCATATTTTATATAAAAATGTAAAAGAATAAATAATATTTACTTATATAATGTATAATTCAAAGAAATCCAAGCATTTCTATTTGGATGTAAAAAGACAATTTGATGGCAAATAGTTCGACAAAAAATTCTTTATAAATGCTCTTCAGGCAATAATTTAAGTCAAATGCTTTAGGAACTAATTTCATCCCTATTTCTTGATCTTTCCTCCTCATCATCATCTTCAGGGGTTTCAACTTCTATCACAGGGGGGCTCTCACCACGTGTCTTACAGGAGTACACACTGTAATTATAATAGCATATCCAAATGACAAGTATAATAATAAATATAACAATTATGCAAAGCATTGGTATGAATATTTTTTCCAAAGTTTGTGTCCATTTTAATTGCTTACATCCCTTCACATCCCCCCCCCCCGTCACACCCCCTCCTCACTGTTATTTACCCTCAACCTTACACACACACAGTATTGCAAATACAAAAGTTTTTTGAAATCAAAAACCTGCTTTACAAGGATCCAAAGGTGTTATTTTTTAATCGTTACTCAAAGACCATTGAGAAAGAGAAACTTTGTGGGAGAGTATTAGTGTGAAGGTAATGACAAAGCAGGGACATTTTGACCCAACAGTAACAAAAAAGTAAACTGCTTATTCCAAGCAGAAAATTAATGTTCAAACACTAGAAAAATCAAAATGGCTACAGAATTACAATTACGAAATAAATATCCAAACATATTGCCATCTCATAGGCCTGCAAATACAAGAAGCATCATGTGCTTTAGCAAAGACTGCACAGATCCAAGTACACATGGTTGTATTAGACAGCATGATCAATAATTAAAACAGGGTATAAGAGATAAATCATAATCAACCGACATCTCTGTCACTTTGCCAATTTAAATTAGTAAAACTAATTGATATTACCTTAGTACTGAAAAAGACAGCACATAAAATGCAGCAATCACAAAATAGACAAATCCCCTGAACCAGGCAACAGTGGCAGTGTAGATAGAATTGAAGAGAGTGCCTCCAAATAAACTGCATGAGTTCTCAACAGCAGAGATGCTGGCAAATAGTGAGCCTGGAAATATGCAGATTGAAACAATATAATTGACTTTAAAACATGATCAATATTAATAGTCAAAGAACTCAAATGATTTGAAATTTTGTGCATGATTTTAACTGTTAAAGCAGCTGTAACACTGTTACAGCCTTTAAAAACTCTTCTTATATAAAATGCAGGTACTTTTATTAATTTTAAAAACAAATGAAAAATGTGTGCATCAATCTCTCCCTCTCCTGTAGTGTAAAATGCAAGGTAAATTGGGAACTGGAGTTTCAACAGATCTAAGAAATGTTTTTATATAAAATGCACAAGTATTCGTCATTCAATGGGCAACATACACGACTTAGTGACTGAAAGAGCATCACTGCCCAATAACTGCTTTTAAAATAAAAGATTCTTTGGAATGAATATATCTGTTCACATTTCTTTTAATTTTTTAACTGATTGTAGTTCAGAAATAAAAGTGGACCTTATAAAAAATTGAAAATACAAGGCCCAAAGGCACATAACTCTATTTGGATGTCCAGGGGGAATAAATACAACACCAAAATATCCGAATTTCCTAAAAAATCAGGAAGACTTTCATCTCTGGTAGTTTGTTTGTAAAACACGCACCGACACACCCACATATGCACACTAACCCAGGTGAACAAACATAAGATTTAACTTCCCAATCGAGACAAAACACATGGCTGTATTTACCTTGCTCGTGATGTGTCACCTGCTCTGACATCAAGGCACGCAACATTGGGATAATCAGGAAGAAAAACATGTTAACAAAACATGCTGGAATACAACAAAATAAAACTGCAATTACTTCATATGTTCCAAATCAACATGATACCTATTTGGTCTAAAAATATTTGAAATTGCAGAAAAGAAAAAAAAAACATAAGTAGCACTCTGTACATGATGCGATATATTGTATTAAACAAACAATAAGTAGGTATTCACTTTCAATCCAAAAATATCATATGAAATTAAGTTAGAATAAGTCTTATCTTATGAAACTATTTTGGTGTACCAAGTACTAGTAATTTAAGTACTCAGAAAGTGAATTGCAAAATATTAATTACTAGTAAAAACTTTGGTGAATAGGGTTTTCAGTCTCTTGTGTAATGAAAGTAAAAGGTGTATAGTGCTAAGGAAACTAGAAATGTTTTTACCTATATAATGACACATTTTGCTATAGGGTCCAAAAATCACATCTAAGGCTGCATTACAAAGAGCAGACTATTAAGTATGTGGATCAAATATGGGGACTCACTTCAAAGTTTGCCATCTAATCTCCTAATACAAACTGAATAGATTCCCCGCGGGGATTACACAACAAGCACTCGAGTGTGTCTGCCATATTTGACCCGCAGACTGTTGTTGTGAATGCAGCCTTATAGGTAAAATACTGGAAACAATACATTTTTATCATATCAAAATCTCATCAATATAACATACTTACAAATATACATCATGTATTCATATTGTGCAAAAGCCACCAGGATCTTGTTGGCAAACACCAGTACCATGGCCATTTGTGCAATATACGCTTCCTTTATCTTCAATAGCTTTCTCATTATGAGCAGACCCACAAAGCTACCAGCCTAAAAAAGGGGAAAAATCCAAATTATTCACTTAAAAATTTTTTCAACAAGATAAATTAATTTATCTGATTCAATAGGTTTTAAATTATATGTAAATAAACAAAAGGATAAGTATTGATCAAATAATTATAGCCACAATATTATTTATATTATCATATAAGACAAGATGTAATGTTCACATGATGCTATAATAATAAGTGATAAAATTCATTACGATTCGGTTCTAAAAATTGATAAAGAGCATAATGTAGAAGATCCAGAGGGAAAAGGAATGAAATAAAGAAAGGTGCTCATTAAATTACTAGTACATTGAATCAGAAGAAGATTGATAGAAACATTTCTTAAAACTTTGTCTCGTCATTACTATAATCATAATTGTTGTAGGCAAATCATTCAGATATTTTAAAAACAAGCTGGGTACTAGTACATGCAAGAGAGGATGTTTTTCTAACCTTAAGTAAAGATATAATAAATATCTTTTCAAATACTAGTACATGAAACAGTTAAGTTGACTTTAATAACATGAAATAAAATCTTTACCTGTATAATTAAAGCATTAATAGCATTAAACCATCCAATCTGGGTACTAGTCCAGCAAAAAGGACTGTTGAGTAGATACAGCATGTCCACTGCTGAACTGGAGACCATGGACATGGCACTGAGGAACAAAACCAGCAATAACAGTCTCAACTTCCACACTCTGCCTGGTAAATTCTCCCCCGGTTTGTGAAAATACAGCTGAGCCATTCGGAGCACATGTTTCAGGTCGAGCAGTTTGGCGTTGGGATCCTTCTGTATGAGTTCAGGCAGGCAAAAAACAACATAAAGTAAGGCTAAGCACAAAGATCCCGTCACAATGATGTTGGGGATGAGAAAATTAGGAGAAAGTTTAATGAGATACCCCATTGAGATCTGAGAAGCCTCGATTGAAAATAACAGCAAGAGGTCAGTGATTGCAATTCTGAAGGCACGGTTCTTCGTTGTGGTAATATCGGAGATATATGTGAAGCATCCCATTAGAGCAGTGGCATACTGACCAAACAGTCCTTCAACGAAACACACTGGTAGAAAACTCCACAGAGGCCACTCAAAATAAACTGCAAATACTGTAAACACACTTCTGATTAAAGAGCCCAGGCAGGGTAGAATCAAGGATGGTTTTCGCCCAAATGTGTCACTGTGGCCTCCGTAGAATACGGTGACAATGATTGCTGGAACCAGGGTACAAATGCTTGTGTACATCAGCCATAGTGATGACTCTGCCTGCACCTTCTGCTGTAAGGCATACATGGTACTATTTGTGTCGTTACTTCCTTCACACCCCGCGCCAGAATCCGACTTATTCCCCACATATCCGAGATCCTCACCGATTCTCTTGTAAAAATACTGGGGAAATATTGAAAACAAAGAAAGTATGGCAAAGAAGTAGAAAAAAGCATATGGCTCCACTGTAACTGGGCATTTAGGCAGAAATTTGGGCATGTCCATATCTACAATGTCTACCAGTTCCTTGTGATGGCGATTAGTATGAAGATCTCTATGGCGAAGCCCATTTCCCCTAGAAAGTAGTGGATCGGTCTCTCTGTTGCTTTCCATTCTGTACAGCTGTCAATATGTGTGATACCTTCCTGTTAAACACAAATTATAGTACATGTCATTTAAAATTGAACTGCTAATAACAATGGGCAACTTCATATAACTGGAGTTGCCTTTCTACTTTTTGTGCACCCAGGTTAATAGAATTAAGGAGGGGAAGGTGGAGAAATGATAGAAATTTTAAACTTCATTTATTTGTCCATTCTTCCCACCAAGAAAATTATTTAAATATTATAAAACAAAATTATGTGGTCACTGAGTGCCTTTTTTATCCTGCAAAATGCTATTTTGGGGAGGTTAAGTGTTGGAATTAAAACAATCTTGCTTTTAAAAATGGAAAACCTGTCTACCACAGACCACACCCTACTCTCCTACCTCTGAGCTGCTAAACCCCATAAAAGTTAGTTTACTCCATAATTAAGTCAACTATAATAAGTAAGCTACATGTACATGTAGTGTACAGTATTTAAGGGTGGCATATTATTGAAGATAACAGATACAATACATGTAATTATATCGGATCGACCCACATAAAGCTTCCCTTGCACTTGAACCTTGAGGGTTGCACTTGAATCTTAATGAGGATGCTCTAAAAATTATCTACTGCGAAAAAAAAGTGCAAGTCACGTACAGCCATCTCAAACGTAAGTACTGTACTAGGGTACTGAGTATTTTAAAAAGGGCTGCACAACTTTTCTTCAATAATGATTTAAGTCAAATCAAGTTGTCCAACTAAATAAGGATAACCTTGAATCACTGAGTCCACCCCCTATGAAACCAATATTTACAGTCACGCTGGAGAGACTGCACCTGACCCCTTGCCAAATGACAGCTTGAATGTTTGTCAAGTCACACCACTTACTTCTCTCTTGTTCGTTCTCCCCGAGTTTAATGCATCCTGTGGGTTAGACAGCCTTGTAAATCATCCTGGCACTGTCACGTGTACGATGCACAAGTCAAATACGCAAATTGAGTCATAACCTGCTGTTGGAAAGTAAAACTCTGAGAAACTTTCTGAAACCGGAAGAAGGGAGAAAGTGCCAAGATGAGCTACTTATGAAACTCACAAGAAACTTCCGGTTAGTTATTTATAACGTAAGTGAAGTAGGTCAGTCTGATGGGTTTGTTGTTTATCTCTACCGCGTGATCTTAGGCCCTGCAGTTTGGAATACAGCTAAATGTGTGTTTTGTGTGGGGTAAAATGAGCTAACCTTGCAAACCAACGACGCACAGAAGGTCTGTATTTGAAAAATAGATATTAATTAACTTAACGAATAACGTGAACAAAAATAAGAATCAAGCACTTGGTCTTAGAATGTCGAAAGGAAAAGGCAGGTCTTTGTGTCAATTAAATGTTGATCGGTGTCGAAATGTCGACGTACATGTACCCTTGCTGTACTGGTACTACTACTGGCACACTGTGATACACAGACGGAAAAAATAACTGAAATGAGGGCAGACTTTTTAAAAAATATAGGTAAACTCTTTACAGCCTGCAGGGTATTCAATCTCTTAAATATTTCACAGACCAACTGCACTGCGTCGATCATGTACGTGTCTCACCTTAGACAGTAATCACATATATACTAAGGTATAGCGTCTATAATCAACCTGTTTTAGTCTCTAGAATTCCCATTTGCATTCTTTACATTCCCTACTGGTACCTACTCTACAGGTACATGTACATACTGGTATATTGGCAGCATGTTTACTGGTGTGGGCAGATATTGTAATATGTTATGTCTTTGTCTGTATAGCTTGATCATGCCATGTACTTAAGTTTTTTCTTCTGTTGGCCTAGCTACCAGTGACTGTTTTAATATAATGTTTTTTGTAGCACGGATTTCATCTAATTTGCACTCCTGTCAATGGTTTCTGATATGTATTGGCTGTGCAAACACTAACACACGAATCACAAGATAATTTATTTTCTTTATTTTTTCTTTGTAGGAGAGATCTTGACACAAGAATTGAGAAGAACAGTAAAGGGAGATTTGCCTCATCAGCACATAGAGCTTCTGGGATAAAATGGAAAATGCAGCGATCAGTGGTGAAGACAAGCCTGAAGGCAATGAAATGAAGGAGAACTCTGCGCGTCTTTTTATCGCAATTTCAGGTGTTCTTTTTTTGTATGTGATATCATCATCTGCCTACAGCCCTTTAACTGATCAGTATGTGTATTCTGCATTGGCTCGCCAGTATGGTCTCCCATGTGGAGATAACGACACGCAGCATTCGTGCCAGAAGTCACAGTCCCAATGCATGAAGGATAACACCAGTGATCCATTGTATGATTTGCGGGAGAAAGTTGAGGGACAGTCATCAAGTTGGGTTTTATATATTACAGTACCTAAAGCAATAATTACTGTTCCATTGTCATTATTATATGGGAGTTATAGTGACAGAGGAGGCCGAAAAATCCCCATTCTTTTGCCATGCATAGGCCTCTTGATCAACTATGTTATTGTTGGAGTTGTCATCTTCTTTCAACTTGATTTGTATTTTATAGCCATTGCTTGTGCTGTGGAAGCACTCTTTGGAAGCATTGCCACAAATTATCTTGGGATTTTTGCGTACACTGCAGATATATCCTCAATAAAAGTGCTGACATTTCGTATTGCGGTGCTGGAAGGGTTAATTGGTGTGACATACAGCTTGACTCAGCTTGGCCTCGGCTACCTCATCGAAACCACAGGGTTTATGTACCCTATTTTGATAGCAGCTGGACTGCAGCTTATTAATATAATTTATGTGTGTCTTTTGAAGGAGACCATTCAACGAAGTGAAGATGCAAAATTTTTAAGCTGTGAAAATTTTCGGAAGATCTTCAGGCTGTTTGTAGTAGACAATGGAAGCCATAGACTGTGGAAGATCAGGTTGCTAATGCTGTGCACTTTTATTATAGGTCTTCCTTGTATAGCCGTGTACGATGTCCAAACACTATTTCAACTAAATGCCCCGTTATGCTGGACTTCAGTCAAAATTGGTTTCTTTCTTGCTGGACGCTTTACTGCAAGTTTGCTAGCACAAATGATTCTCACCAAAATATTCAATCGATGGTTTGATGATGATCTACTAGCAGTGGTTGTTATAGTGATGGGCATTGCATCATGGGTATTTGAGGCATTTGCTACAACAGATCTGTTGATGTATCTTGGTAAGTATGGCAGGGTTTACACTCTTTATGCCCCCACCCCATACATCATTACTCCCCCTAGCAAATTTGTGTTATTATCAGTAATGATGGAGGGAGGTCACAGAGAGGTGACAGATGTCACAGAGGGTAACATTGCTGTGCAGTTTATTTGCCAGTTATGAATACATGACATTATTTATGCTGACTGAATAAGATATATTTTAATATTATATCATTTTCTTACAGAACACTGTTTATTACACTAATAGTATTGCTTAAAATTATAATTAATAATTTAATTCTTAAATATATATATAAAGGCCATATACAAATATTGTATTTTAAAAAACAGTAAGTTTTATGAACTACCTGAAAAAATAAGAATGATAGTTTATGGTATAACCGATTTTTAATGTTAGATTGTTTTCTATTAGTTATAGCTGTAGGCCTGAGCTTTGATCCTTTTACCTTCCTACGTGCTATGGCATCCAAACTGGGCCACAAAGATGAGCAAGGTAATGTGACCTATTTATTCATCATCATAAGCTTCCTCTTTGTTGTTTTGTACTCAGTTACCCCATGGGTGAAAGTTGTGCCTGATTTCAGGATTTTCAGTCTTCATTTTGATAGTTTTTTCATATGATCTAAATGCAATGTTGCAAGCTATTTTTTCAGGATTTTCAGTTTTTACAATCTTCACCTGTGAGTAACCTTGATTTTAAGAGGACACCAAAAACTCTTCCTCTCTACTACATGTATCAGCATTGCACTCACTGTGGCTGGCAATGGCAGAGGCATGCTTACAGTAGAGGGGTGGATTTCCAGTGTCTTCTGGAACTCAGGGTGATGTCAAGAGCCTTACTAGTAAATAAACAATATCATACTAAGACAAAATATAGTAAAATACTGGTATAGTAGGTTTTTCATTGTCTTTTGGGTAATGGTGATAAAACAGTACTAGCAATTTACTTCTGAAGAGACTAAAGGTGTTTTCTACCTTTATGTGGCATGGTATTATGACCCTGCATCAAAGGAACTAAGACACATTTATTTTTACTGACTATTGGCTAAAATGTTATCATGTTTAGTCTCTCTAGGACAGTTGCTGAGCTTACTTATATGCACCAATTTTAGTGTGCAGTGAAAGGCCCATCAAATCAGGACATAAGTAAGCTCAGCATCTATGTATTTTGTTTGGGGCACATTTAGAACATAAATTTAAGCCAAGATATGTAGTTCCTCCGTGCACTATTATTAAAAATGTTGTGTGTCACTGTGTGTTTAAGAGACAATTTGCCAGAATTACCGATCTGCTCAAAGTAATTCAACCCCCTTTACAGCAAAGTTTTCACTAATCTTTCATCTCTTTTTTTTTCAGGTGCTTTATTTTCTACAGTAGCAGCAGTGGAGAGTCTGGCATATGGAGCAGGGCAGGCAACATTCACCAACATATACACTGCCACACTGAGTTTATTCCAAGGAATGGTTTTCTTGGTGATGGCTGGGTTTTATGTGATTGCTATGGTCCCATTTTTGTAAGTGTCATTATGCTTCTCATGGAAAATTGCAAACATACAGTAATGTTCCATTCAAAATGTCATTTCATTATTAATGTTGACTTTTGATGAAAGTGTTCCAAGTAGATAATAAATGTTGATTATTAATTTTATTTCATTAATATTAATCATTTTGGCAAATTCTTTCTCCCTTTTCTCTCTCTCTCTCTCTCACACACACACACACACACACACACACACATGTATTGCAGTTGTGCATAAATATCTCCCCCCATTAATGAAATAAAACAAATGCCTTTCACTTATTTTTTTATTATTATTTACAGGTTTTACATAATCAAGATAAGAAAAGAAAACAAATACAAACTCCTGGTCAATAATCCCACAGCCCCATCTGATGACATACTGAATGCTTCTAAGGAGGGCCATGTGATCAACGAATAAAGTCTGAACTGGCATTGTTTTATCTCAAGTTTGGTAGATGATAAACTAGATCAGTTTATTTTAATTTGACATTTATTTGTTGGTATAATTATTTGACATTGGATTTAACTATAAAGGTTATGATCAAAATGTAACTTTCAAGTAAGAAGTTATCAGTGATGACAAAGAATTGGATGCATATATGGACAAATTTGGTATCTTTAAAATTTTACTCTTTTTTAAAGAATTTTAAACACAGCTTATTAAATTTGTTAAAAAAATTTTAAGATACCTCTGACTTCTTACCATCTTAGTAGTACATCTGTTTTGAAGAATCCTGAAATATGAAATATTATTAGGCATCATTCAAACAAAACTGTGTATTGAAAAAAAATTTATGAAAGTTTTTGGTTAGCTATGCAGTGTTAAGACTTTAGTCATTCTTATATGTTGGGCATTTGTTGAGCATCATGTATGCCATCATATTTAAGGATAACTAATGCAATGGAGACATAATTAGGTATAAGTTATGTTTTGTTTATATATATATATAAGGAATATTTCTAAAAATTTATCAAAACTTATTAGCTAGAATGTCATAGCCCTATCCCCTGTTGAATTGATCTATTATTTGGCCTAGTTTGATATTAGTTATGTTTTATTTAGACAACCTATAGACTAATATGTTATATTATTTTATTTATATAAGGAATATTTCTAGAAATGAAAATCAAAACTTATCGGCTAGAATGTCATTGCCCTTTACCCTGATAAATTGAGCTATTATTTTGCTAAGTTTTGTCAAGCAAATTCAAAACGCTATCCACCTCATTCATATCTTATTGATTAATGATTCTAGTAAGATTATGTATGATTATTTGCTTCAATTTTGCAATCCTAAGCATGGGATCTGATACATTCCTGGTTCTTTATTTTTTTAATCTCCATATGGAGAAGATGCTTCATTACAATGAAAAATATGCAGGCATATCCTGGGTATAATTGTAAAAATGAAAAGACCTACCTCTGTTGTCTCTGAGGCTCAGGCTACATGTAACTCCCTATAAATTTCTTTTTTCAAATAAAAGGAGAAATTGAATTTTAATTCATACACCCTGTTTACAGCAAATGATGTGATAGGGAAATAGTGAAATTTCTGACATAACCCTCTTCCAGTCATGAAACAGTGTCCATGGCTAGTGCAATATATGTACAATTATGTAATCTGTGATAAGATTTTTAAAATTGATGTGATAATTTAGCTCTTATTGAATATTGTAAACATACATTTCTGTAGAAAAATATATCAGATTCTTTACATTTTGCTCTGGTCACATGATATGACCACAGTAAATAAAGTAAATTTCCAGACATATAGATCATTTATATTGGTTTGTTTATATACCCAATCCATGGAGCTACTGGCTCAACATTCTGATTGGAACTCACAGATTAGATTCTTTCTGTAATTATTAATATTAATTTATGTCTTAGAGAGAATGAAATTTTCCAACAGGGTCCTATGTAAATCGCACTACTTGTGCTGTCGTGATTTTTATAAGTTCAGTTTGTCATTATGTTTAACAAAATTCTTTTGCTTTTTTTCATTTTTACAATCTCCACAATAGTTTATTTATGTCTCACTGAAGGTGCTTTTAGTAAAGCCTGAAAAGGTGCCCTCTCAGCCGGAGCGAGGCACACCTGTGGTCATGGCATTCTTTCCTTAAGACCTTTCGGATGGTTACTAGTACATACCTAGAAAGGCTACTAATCTTTCTTAATTCAGACTTTAAAGTCTAACATAAAACCCATCAAATAAAAGAATGTATCAACGAATCCAAGCGCAGAAACGGGTAAAGATATGATTCGTTAATAAGTGCACATTGCTTTTTCCTCCCGAGGAAAATTCATTTTTGGCGGTTAAATCATGTAAACACTACCTTTCAGTCGTTCGAGAGAGGTGTTGCTCATCTTTTGGGATACATATATCAGGCCAAATAGAAAGTGTGGATATAAGTGTAGCAGATCTTTTTATTTCAGGAACAAAGGGCAAAACAAAATTTAAAGATTCTGCATGATTTTGAAACATAATTTAATTGAATGATATCGAAATTCAGTTGAAAACAAAATTGCTTACTCAAGCAAGTCTGCACTTGCATGCAGTTCGCATTTAACTTATGCACTGCGAAATGTTTTTTATTTTGTAAAGATCAGCTACAAAAATGTAACATACCAAGGGACACAAAAGAGAGTGACATGTACGTATCTCGAACACGCGAAGGCATAACCAGCCCTTGCCCCTTTTCAAAGAAATAGTTAAAGGAAATTGCAAAAATACACTTCATAAATTACATTAGGTATTCCACAAGATATTGTAAAGAAAGTATACGGAACTGTCATTTGTCTTACTGTTTAAAATGTCAGAAAAAATCATTATCTGTACATATTGCCTTCAGACGCCGTATATGTCAACAAACGGACTACGATGTTTTGCGTTAAAATAACCACTCGTGCAGAGAGTGACGATGGTATTGACTTTTGTGTTAGTTGTTACGCAAAGTAGAAATTACAAAACTTTCTTCTTTCTTGTTTCATACTCTTTATTTTTTCCCACTATCTCCATTTTCTCTCTATTCTATTCAATCTCTTACGGAGTTTCGGTGTTCTTCCCGTCTACTCTACATGCCTCTGCTAAGTTATCGTACATTATGAGGACGTGCCTATTAACTTAATACCACTCCCCGTTCTTAACTATACATGGTTTTCAATAACTACCATTATAAAAAATACTCTAGACTACTCGCGCATTGTCTGGATCGGGCTCATTTGCCTTGCACCCTCTGCCCCACCCCAACCTGAGTGATTTGCGTACTGTCAGCAGTACATCGTATATTTACACTATCCGTACATAAAAGCCGTATAGAAATACAATACTGACAAAGCATGCGATGCTTTAAAACGAAATTAAATATGACAAAGAGAGGGATGGTAATAAATTATTTGTAAATTTGGAGAATTGTAAAGGATTTGAATGTCATCTCTTGTTCATCATGTGAAGTGGGTATTCTGTTTTAAAATTCAGAAATAGAATAAAAGTGCTGTTTTTAATATTCTTGAAACTTAAATGAAAACAGGAGTGCCGAAGCTATAAGTACAATCCACGACAAACAAGAGAAACTTGGTGCACTGCTCATGGTCTGACTGGTGACAGGACAGTTCTTTTGCAGTGGCTTATATGGCGTGGTTATCTTGTAGGCTGGAACGATTCGAACCTGAAATACAATAAAACACAAGAAATAGCTACTAAATATTATTTCTTTATGCTTATCACAGATAAGCAAAGCTCGAACTAATACGTACATTGTGACGTATGCGCAACATGTTATTCTGTGGCCAATTTTCGTTAATTTTTGTAGAAAATTAAAACCAAATTGTCGTTTTCTAAATATACCATTTNAGAAATAGCTACTAAATATTATTTCTTTATGCTTATCACAGATAAGCAAAGCTCGAACTAATACGTACATTGTGACGTATGCGCAACATGTTATTCTGTGGCCAATTTTCGTTAATTTTTGTAGAAAATTAAAACCAAATTGTCGTGTGATAATTCATTTATGTATATCGATGATGATATAGAGGTCGCACGAATCCCACAGGTGAACTGTAACTGGCAGTTCGAAAAGGAGACTACGCAAATTGGAAAATGCAACATAAAAATATATAAGTTTTGGCAATGTGTAATTTGTTCTTCCATGCATAACTATACTAAAAAAGCATCCTATTTTTAGTGAAAAAACATGCAATAAACTTAAATGTAGACTGTCGATTTAGCGTTTCGATCCTTTCTTTTTGGTATTACCGAAGACACAACGAATGACTTATTTCACTAAACTAATAAAATATTTTTGGAAATATGCATACTGGACCATAAAAAACAACTCCTCATGCTTCATATTTAAGGTGATTTAACTTCGGCGTCAAAATCAGGTAAATACCTAGAAAAAACATGAATGGTTATAATGCATGATACAAAAGTGAAATTACCGTTCCATTTGATATTTCTATTTGCGTGGCGTTTCTCGCAATTTGTTGAAACATCTCACGTGTTTTAGGATTCGTCCAATCCACGCCGTTTTCCATGGCATTAAGGAACTGATCGCCACCAAACTCTTTTGGCTCTGATATGTTGACGTAAATGTTTCGAAGTGGCCTTCAAAAGAACAAAATGACAGTTAACTTGAAGTGACACTGCTGGCAATGGTAACAATAAGGTCTGATTCACTGGACCTCTGCTTTGTTCAGATGCATTGGCATATATTGCATTGAATTGACATTTTTTTTTTTTTTTTTTTTTTTTTTTTTTTTTTGAAAGATAAAAATGAAGTCGGAACTCTCATATTGCAGTTATGTACATATTCCGCGTTAGATTGTCTATGGATCTTTGGCATCCTCAGAGAGAAAAGACAAATATCAAAAAAGAAAACGTAATATATTCCGTTTTTATGACAAAAGTGCCATAAAAACTACGGTTTTTTTCACTCGCATTTGTTTATATTCTGTCTAATACAATAGGACATCTAAACCATTGCACCATATGTCTTGGTAACAGACCGCGCTTCACCACATGTAAAGTATGTGTGTTGCACAGAGGCCAAAGACGCAAGCGGTTCTTCATTATTTGTAGTTACTAGGATAAAGCAGCTTGGAATGTGCCATAATTAGGTTTTAGGAACAACTGTCATGCCGAATACTAAACCATGGTTGGGGTGCCGTGTTATGGCTCTATTATGTGACAATAGCTCTACTGTAATAAACTTACGTGAACTTTACATCAGGGACTATCTTAATCTGGTCGATCTGAGACGGCATGCTCACGCAATTTTGCCACTTTGGAATCCGAGGATAATACAGTGGGAAAGTGAAGCACATCTCCTCTCTTATTTTGTATCCGCCCTTCAATAAATAAATAAATAAAAATCAAAAACTTAACTTACGTCGTAATATTTAATTGTGTCTGATTGTCTTTCAATTATGCCGCTCGTCGTGTTGTGTTTCAGATAATATATTTGCCTTAAACACTTTGCAATATGCATTCAAAAATACAATTTATCGCAAAAAATCTATTTAAGTTTTGAGAAAATGGGTAGAAATGTATGGATTAAGCTTGGTCATCATCATTTTTCATTTTCTTCCACAAGGTTTCCGGGCAAAATTAATGACAGTTATTTTTTTTCCATAGTTTTAGTACATTGCAGTACAAAATAAGCGAAAAATACTACTGATAATAAATGAACCCAATCATCCGAATGAAACCGACAACTTACCCATGTTATGTTGTTGCGGTCTGTAGTTTTGTGTCGACAGGTGGAAACCAAGGTGTCATTCTGAAACCAACAGAAGTATGTTAAAGGGTCAGTACCGGGTATTTTACACGGTAAACATTGTAAAAAAATCTAACACCTTCAAGCAAAGAACTTCGATTTTCTAAGTCTTTGATATCTTGTTAACTCCACATGCAAGTTAATATAATAACGCAAAATATAGTAACGGAAACTAAAATTTGCAAAATTTGAAGACTCCAATAGACTATAAGCTTATATTATCATCGTAGCTGTATGGACAATAAATTGTCGAAGCATCTATATAAAATAATAAAGAAACAAATAAGCAAAAATATACGAACGGGAAGCACTGTCACTTCTTTGTTTAAATAGTGCAGCCCTTGGTAGTTGAAGTCGTAGTGATCATCGGCGATTATGTTTGGCAACTCAACGCCATCCCGGATGTGACGTAACCATACACCAGTTCCGGTCAGATGTGTGTGGAGACATACAGCAAATACCTTTATACCATCCGGCTGGGATGCCATCGCCTACGAAAATTATATTAGTAATATCAGCTCCAAGTAAGGATAACTTGACGTCAAAGCAAATAACATTTTAAGTGTGCTTTCGCTTTCAGTATCGTTTCGGGATTTAGAAATATGGAAAAAAAGCCTCTAGTTCTACCGTTTGTCAAAGTAAGATCGTGATTATTGACTGGGCAAATAGGCAATGATGGGGTAAAAAGAAAAAATGTCAACCTAAGGTGAAAAAAGAAAAAAACGACAAACCTCTGACATAGAAGCCGAGGAGCATTGTCCAGATGCATAAAAACTCTCGAAGTGTGGCGGGATGAAGAAAAATCCACGAGTGATACTAACACCGGTCAGAAGAATACCAGCATCATACTGGCGACGTCGTGGTGTCATGATAAAACGTAGACCAGAAGAATCCACGTAATCTGAAATTGAATGAATTAATCTTCTTAATTTTTAGACATTTTCAATCATGTTTTTTCGAATTATTTACTTTCGTAATGTAAAAAAGTAATCATTATCAATTATTCGTTTCATTTGACCTTTTTTATGTTTTAGACCCTTATTTAATTTTCTTGCGGCTAATAACTTGTATGTAACTCTATAGCACATGTATGCATGTATGTATGCATTAAAACCCCTCTAATTTGATCATATGGTTTGAATTTTTGAAAACGAGGTTTATGACGATATCTAAAAGAAACTAAATGCACATACCTTCGTAAGAAAAAAGGGAACACAAAAACATAATAATTACTTTAAGTAGTAGCCAAAAAGGCTTTTTTATTTACCGGACCGGTACTTACCACCGCGCAGAGTCGGGTTATCGTAATGCACTTCTAATTTCACAAATTGTGGGTCGTCAGGACCTCCAAGCGGAAAGCCTACGTGAGGAGGGAACGAGTGAGCCTGCCAGAAATATTGAAATAGTGTTAAGCACTGTTAAAAAGGGGAGAAAATAGATAAAAAGCGAAAGCGTACATGAAAAGCACACACTGAGATCAAAAGGAACCTCGATCTGGAAGTGAAGTGGCTCCTTTTTTGCAGTTCACACACATAAGCATTTTTACAGACGAATGTTCAATGAAATTGTTACTAGGCTTACCGTACTTTCTTTCACCTTGAGTTCCGAAAGAGTACCGTACGGTCTCCTATGAAAATCAGGGCATATATTTGAATATAAAATAGAACTTGTACGTACCTCTCCACCGAACGCCCATCCCATTATTAAAACTTTGCATTGTTTGAAATCATCCGGCATGTTGTCTGTGTTACAGACACCTCCCTTTAAATGCAAGTCCGTTTGGTTGAGATCGTGAAAACAGCCATAAACGTTAATGTGGTGGATCAAAGCTTCGTGCCCCGGTTGAATGATAGGCTCTATCTGAAAGCAGATTAACATTTACAGTTTTTTTTTTTTTTTTTTTCATTTCTGGTCGAATAAGGAATGATACAGGGGCTAAGAAAAAATCTAGACACTAAAGAAAAATGAATCTGTCAGTCCGCGGAGCAAAAATTTTTAAATATAAATATTACGAGCAAAAGCTTAAATACAGTATCCCCCAGCTGCGAGCCTCGTATCACAAAAGATATCGCTTTTCATGTTATTCGAATTCCTGCATACAAGTACGTCACTCCAGACTGCCGCTGTGACTGTGTCGTCGTCATCGAGGGGAAAAAACGCGACTTTAAGGAAACCAACCAAACGCGTAGGCCCTACTACTTGTAAAAAAGCTATCACAGCCAAATTAAGGGCAGAATGTATCCAAAAGTAAGCACGCACGCACACACCAGCCACACACACATGCTTGCACGCATATTTCTCATTTACATTAACCCTGAAATGACAAAAAAATTTTGTTTTTTCTTACCCTTATCAAATGGTGTATTCCATTAAATTCTGGTAACTTGAATCCCTGGCACCAGTACGTGGTATCAGTTTTATTCTGTATATGAACCTGAAAGAGAGATCATACCTTGAACCATACATTATAAGTTTAGACTAATTTGAAAAATAGAAATTAATTATCATGAGAATTGGGTTAATTAATTAACTGATTAGCTAATTAATGGATGATTTATGAGAATTGAATTGCCTAGGCGGAGGTCTACGCTCTGAGGTATTTGCTAGTTGAAGCTGAAATGCTTCATGTACAGCAATATTACATGTATGTAGTGCCATGGTTATAAACCACGAACCTGTATTAGGCATTATGAAACAAAAACGAATATAAAATTATTCCAATCGCCCCTCGTTGTGCCTCTTAGACTATGAAGCATTGTACATATGTCAATACCTTATCGTTTATTATATCAATGGCATAAGTGTCATCAGGCAAAGGCTCCACGTCTTCTTTCTTTACTGGATTCAGTAGGTAGGCACTCTTGGCACCACGGTTTGTCACGTGATATTGAGGACCAATGGCTGGGTCTGGATCGCCGTCACGGAACGCCCACAACAAGCGCACTGTTCCCTCCTACAAAATGGGTACAGCATAGGTAACTTATGCACGTGAGTGTGAAAAGCCTTGGTCAGTGTTATGATATTTGTGGCTTTGTGATTTTCAACCACTCATGCAATGGATTGTTTTTGTGGTGAGTTTTATGTCTTTAGCGCCAGTAGAAATAAATGATTCGCACATAGCCCGGTGCTATTCTTAATAAAGCTGAAAGACAAAAAAAATGTACACAAATGTTTGGTGCACTACGTATTTATTTTCTTAAAACAAACGTCCATATCCATCCGACACAGCACTATTCACTATTCCACTAAAAGTGGAAAACTTATAAACGCACGCAAATGGCTGTATCCAGTGCGTATGTATTTCACCGTGACTATTATCGTAAAATTTAATCATCATGTAATGCAAATAGCCTAAACCGGTAAAATCATCGGAGAAAATATACGAATCTATTTTTTTCTAACCGAAAGTTCATGTGAGTTCAAAGGTATGGTAAAAACAATGATTTAACCAGACAACGGCGTAGGGTCACAATAATACATACACACACTGGACAGTAGAAGTGTCACCCCCTAAAATCAGAGTAATAAAAGTAGGTAGATCTTGGGTGGTTATAATACCTGATCTACATATAATGTGACTAATGAGTATAAAACCGCTATACCATGGAATTGTATTGTTGGTCTTGTACATGTACAGCAAATGTTATTCCTGTCTTCCTCCAATATGGCAATATGGACTTTAAACTGTATATCTTGGTAGAATGTATATTTTGTTCTCATTGTGTGTGTGTGTGTGTGTGTGTGTGTGTGTGTGTGTGTTTTTCGTTTTTTTTGTGTTTTTTGTG